CCACACGCATGCACACACACACACACACACACACACACACACACACACACACACACACACACACACACACACACACACACACACACACACACACACAGGAAACCCACACAAACGCAGGGAGAACATGCAAACTCCTCGAAGAAACGCCAACTGAGCCGAGGCTCGAACCAGCGACCTTCTTGCTGTGAGGCAACAACACTACCTACTTCGCCACTGCTTCGCCTACCTGTAGATAACTTTTTTTTTTTCATCTAATCATAAAAGATTAGATGAAATATGTTTTATGTAATAACCTTGAACAGAAATTAATGGTAAAAGTCTAAGGCTTTAAGTTTCAAGGTTTCTATTCTCGTGCATAAAATAAAAACATTGTGTGTGTGTGTGTGTGTGTGTGTGTGTGTGTGCGTGTGTGTGTATACGTGTTTTTGTGACATATCAGGGATTCAGGACACAAATCTGTATGATGACACAGGTATTACAAAAAGGAGGTGAAATATGAGGACATTGGTGACGTCCTCAATTCTCAAAATGCTTATAAATCCTACAGAATGAGTTTAAGCAGGGAGTAAAGCTGCACACAGTCTCTTGTCATGGTTGGGTTTAGGGGTGGGGTGGGGTGAGGACAATGCAATATACGGTTTGGACTGTATAAAATGAATGGAAACCTATATAATGTCCCCACTTTTCACAAAAACAAACGTGTGTGTGTGTGCGTGTGTGTGAATGTGTGTGTGGATGTTTCCCAGAAATGGGGTGCGGCTGGAAGGGCATCCGCTGCGTAAAAACGTGCTGGATAAGTTGGTGGTTCATTCCACTGTGGTGACCCCGGATTAATAAAGGGACTAAGCCAACAAGAAAATGAATGAATGAATATTTACAGGCATCATGTAATGATCTGAATTTTAAGGTCAAAGCTCTCCCATGTACTCAAGCCTTTCACAGAAAACCTTTAACAGAAAATGCTGGAACTGGAGAAATGTAAATGAGCACTTCAGGATAATGGCTGAGAGCAGTAAACATTTCACAGTATGCTTCATCTATTCTCCTTTCTTTACAGCACTGCTAAATTACACTATATGAACACTTGCTGAAGACAAAATTGAAGGGAAAATTCCCCTAAAAACAAGCAGAAAATGAAACCCAGTGTCTGGTGATGTCTATTAGTTCCAGACTTCAGGCTGCAATTGACTGTAAAGTATTTGCAACCAAGTATTAAAAAGTGAAAGTTTAATGTATGATTATTAATCTGTCCAATTACCTTTGGACCCTTAACAAGTGGGAGGCACATATGCAAACTGTTGTAATTCCTACAGCGTTTACTTGATTTGGATGTAAATACCCTCAAATTAAACCTGACCGTCTGCAGCACATTCTGTTCGTTTCATTTCAAATTCATTGTGTGGTGTGTAAAGTCAAAATTGTTAGAATTGTGTCGATGTCCAAATATTATAATAATATTTGTAATATTTCACCACAGGCCTTTAGCCAGGCTGGTGAAGGGGGTGGTTCTTTTTTCCCAAAACGTGGACGTTTTTGCAGTTATTTGCCTCATTTTCTATTTACTTAAGGTATTCTAAGACTGCATCTTATGTACTATTTTTTAGCTGGGTTAGCTTGTCAGGTGGTCACCATAACCACACTTGATGTACCAAATATATTTCCTAAAGATTAAGATAAAGGAATATGAATAATTACTTACACATGCATTACATCCTGTATCATTAGAAAAAAATATAAATCTGTTAAAGTTTTAAATTTAAAATTTTTTGTCAGTTATTAGGCAAATAAAAAAACTGGCCAGCACATTCAACTGTTCTCAGTCAGATTTTGGCCATTTCAACAACAATAAAATCAATAATAATCAACAACAACAACAACAACAACAATAATAATAATAATAAATAACAACAATAAATAATAATAATAATAATGTAGAGATGCACATTTTGTTTTCTAGCCTCTCTTGTAAAAAAGTACATTTGAAAATTTATGAATAACAATAGCCAAATTAGTATGGGCAGCTTATGGTGTTTCCTACATGTTCATTGGTTATTTTTTGTTTCAAGAGTAAGGTCCAAGATTTTGAATAAAAGTTACTTGTAAAATATTTTCTCTATTTAACAACAATTCAGTAGGTCAGTAGTAAAAGCTGACTTTACTTTCGTCAAACTGTACGTTTTTTTGCACAGCTGGATGTTTCAGAGCAATCTCAGAGCAACAGCCAACAAAGAATTTTGCTTGTTCTTAAAGCCTTTTTCCAAAGGTTAGTTCGCAGGTGTCAAACAGTTTAGCTTTAACCTTAATTAAACACACCTGATCAAACTGCAGCCCTCCAGGAACTGAGTTTGACACCCCTGGGTTATTTTAACAATTTATAATGGCAAAACAGTCTAAATAGGACAAATGAGCTCCTGTATGGGACAATCTTTTAGACCTTTGTCAGTGACTACTATTTCATGGACATCAGTAAACAAATTATTTGACTTACTCTGAATAAGACAATAATATAATTAAGGTGTTTGCATGAGTTTCTTTGTAAATGTTCCTTTCATGATCCAGTTTTGCATGTTATAACAAATAGTTTGATTAACGTCCACATTTCTTTCGGAGTTTCATGTAATTTCTGGTGTTTCTTTTTTAATTTGTAGACTTTAACTGCAGTACGGCAGATTTACTTTAATTCAGGAACACTTCATTCATGCCCCCATGTGAACTGAAGTATTGGATGTGGGTATATAGTTAGGACTGCTGGAAGAGTGTAGTTTTAATGGAATTTGATACCACACGACCAATGGAAAGCAAAAAAACCTCAAGATTTAGCGATACAGGTGTTGTTGTTCCTTCACTAACTCAATAGGTGCAGAGAATAGTGTCAAACAGCCATGTGTGTATAGGCTATCCAGTCACAAAATGAAGTCCTACATGAAGGCAAAAGTTTGATTAAGGTTTTTACATGTACTGCAATTCAATAATGTGACTAAAATCAACATACTTCACATGTCTTAATCCGATTCGTTTGATTATGATCTTAATCAGATTAAATTAATCAAAAATTGCTGTTTACATGGTAGACTCTTAATCAGAGTATTGTCTTAATCAGATAAAATTGTTGTCCATGTCAACATACTCACTGAGGAGTGGGTCTTTCGAACCACCCAAACCTCCTGGCTTTAGGCTTGCACCACAAATATTAAATAAATATAAGTTTAACAAGTACTGTATTTATTAAAAGGTTTTATCTTTAATAGAGAGCTTGGTTATTCAGACTAATTACCTACAGCTCTTATTGTTATATAAATGCCACTAAAATGCCAACAAAAGTTTAGAACTGACCTTACATCCCATAAAATACATAGTACAGTGGTTCATGGGTTCACAGTGATAGTCATTACCTAGCAACAAACCAATGCAATTTCAAAACATTTATGATGTAACACCTCATTTATTGAAATAACAGGACTTTGTCAGCTTAATGTACTCGGAATTACTGGTTTGAAAGCAATTATTTGGGAACCGATGTTTCGTAAAGCAGTGTTTCAAAAGCTTCCATCACTGTTTAGAAGTTTTTTCCTCCTGATTACACAACAGGTTCAACTTGGTCAAGTAAATTTGCTGCATTGACCAACAGCTGCTTGGTGTACACTTTTAGTTTCTTCTTCTTTTGATTGTATTGGTCCGAACCAAAATAATAATATTAAGGGCAAGGCAAGTTTATTTATATAGCACATTTCATACACAGTGGCAATTCAAAGTGCTTTACATAAACAGGAATAAAAGAAACAAGTATAAGAAAATAAAAACAAATAATAAAGCATAACAGCACAATCTGTCAGACATAGCAGAGTGCTCATTCAGTAAAGGCACAGCTAAACAGATGTGTTTTCACTCTTGATTTGAATGTGCCTAATGTTGGAGCACATCTGATCATTTCTGGAAGCTGATTCCAGCTGCGAGGGGTGTAGTTGCTGAAAGCCGATTCAGCCTGCTTTGATTGAACTCTTGAAATTTCTAGTTTATATGATTATAAAGGTCTGACTGATCTGTTAGGTTTGTATTCAGCGAGCATATCTGTAATGTATTTAGGTCCTAGGCCATTTAGTGCTTTATAGACCAGTAATAATACTTTAAAGTCTATTCTGAATGTAACTGGCAGCCAGTGTAAAGACTTGAGGACAGGTGTGATGTGCTCTGATTTTCTGGTTCTGGTTAGAATTCTAGCTGCAGCATTCTGGATGAGCTGTAACTGTCTGACTGTCTTTTTGGGAAGACCAGTGAGGAGTCCTTTACAGTAATCCACCCTGCTGCTGATAAAAGCATGAACAAGTTTTTCTAAATCTTCACTAGAAACAAAGCATCTGATTCTTGCTATGTTTTTGAGATGATAGTATGCTGATTTACTAACTGCTTTGACATGAACATTGAAACTCAGAACTGACTCCAGAGTCACACCAAGATTCTTGACCTTATTTTTTGTCGTTTGACCTTTAGTGCCAAGGTTCGCATTTACCTTGAGAACCTCATCTCTGTTCCCAAACGCAATGACTTCAGTTTTCTTTTTGTTTAACTAATAAATAGTTAAACAAAGAGTTTTAAAAACATAGTTTTAAATCAACTATGGTCCCCTGTTTACATCTATACACAGCGAGCTGAAGAAAGACACACTTCATGCGTATGCTCACTAAATTCTTCTCTGATTTTTTTTCTGTTTCTTGCAGATCTGTCTTTGTTTGTTAACAGCACCACATATACGTTTGGCATCCATATTACAGCATTTAACCAAGTTTCCATATGGATGCAGACATTTTTTGAAACAATACATAGATTTATATGAAACTTTTAGAATCCACAAAAGAAAAACATTGTGAATGTAGGATTAGATGGCAGAGTTCACACATACTCAAAGGAACCGCACTAATAATCATTATCATTAATAAAAAGCATCTCTGTTCTCTTAAGCTCTGTAAGTAAACAGCTCATTAATTTTGAAGTATGGTACTCACCACACCGCCATCTGGGTTGCGAATATACCCATATCCAATGGTCTTGTCAATAGCAAATCCAAATTCAGAGCGCCGCAGGTGGCCCACAGGAACACCATTGCGGAAAATAGCTTCCAGACCAAACATTGGCACTTTCCTGCAGGAGAAACAAACAACACATCAGTGCTGACCAAACGAAGAAACCTAAATAACATGGAGATTGGACATCATTTGCATTTATGCCAGATCTGAAAGGCCTCGTTCATATTTATCACATCAATTCACCTTCTAAAAAGTTTGTTTCAATAATTGTAGTTACTAAAGTCCAGAGCAGGCCAGAATGAAGCTCTAAGTGTGAAAAATCAGGACAAGTGCTGGACAAACTCAGAAATCTCCTTGAGAAACCTTTTCAGTCAAATGTAAAGTGATGTATTATGCTATTAGTTTGGCATTTCTGCAATTATTCACTTTCAAGCCAGACGGTAGGTAAATAAATGTCAAAAAACTTGCCAAATACTTGAGGCTATGTGATGACCAGCATATTAGTCTACTGTGTGCTTTGAATTTTAACCCAAAGAAAATATCTAAGTATACACTTTTTTTACAAGTTAATTATAAAGTTAATTAATTATACGCTCATGCTGTTTTACAGATCAAATCTACTGATTCACATTTTCACGACTGTTTACATAATATTACATTAATAGACATAACTTATTAAGATTGAAAAGGGCTTTCTGTGTGCTTAGAAAACTGTATATCAGAAGTTCAATTACATGCATAAGTTGTTTGTTGAGGCAAGAGTAACAGTCACAAGTTGTAAAGGCTCTGCCCCTTTTTTGGTAAGTTGGTGGGACCAGCAACTCATTTACATTTAAAGAGATACATGAATAATTATGTGCTTTGATTTAAAAAGAGGTGTTTACAGCAGGATACAATAAATTAAATTCCCTGTTAATCTACCATGATAATATCCTTTATTAAACAGTTGAAGTCAGAATTGTTAGCCCCTGTTTATTTTTTCCCCCAATTTCTGTTAACGGAGAGAAGATTTTTGTCAACACATTTCTAAAGATAATAGTTTTAATAACTCTTCTCTAATAACTGATTTATTATATCTTTGCCATGATGACAGTAAATAATATTTGACTAGATATATTTCTAGACACTTCTATACAGCTTAAAGCGATATTTAAAGGCTCAATTAGAGCAATTAGGCAGATTAGAGCAATTAGGCAAGTTATTGTGTAACGATGGTTTGTTCTGTAGACTATCGAAAAAAAATACAGCTTTAAGCGACTAATAATTTTGACCTTAAAATTATTTTAAAAAAATTTAAAACTGCTTTTATTCTAGCCGAAATAAAAAAAAAATATTTTCTAGCCGAAAATGATTTGAGAAATATTCAAAAGGAGGCTAATAATTTTGACTTTACTGTGTATAATACATATTTTATGTATTATATGTGATAGTGATAATGGTCATTTTGTTGTCTCTTTTTGTTTGGTATTTTGAGACTTACTCATCAACTGTGAAACAAACGATGCGTCTGCGCAGACCCTCTGCCTTTTGGGCCTCCAGTGCCGTCCGTCCCATAAAGGGAATGGAGGTCTTCAGCTTACATGTGAATGCAAGTCCTGCCTCAAGTGGAGTGTCATCAGGACGCAGATCTGCATGCCAATGCCTGTAACCTGACAAAGAGAGAGATGGTTAATAAAAAAATAAATAAATAAAAAAAAAACATCAAATAAAAAAAGATTCTTAAGTTCTTCTTAAGTTTTGATTAGGGGTGTAACGGTTTATCGTTGTACGATTTATTGCGATGCAAAAATGTCACAATATGCATCGTGGCGTTATGACGATTTGATTACGATATGACGTCCGTTTTCTCTTATTAGTTGAGCTGTTTGCACGTGAGCTACGTTCCACCTGCTGTCGCACGTGAGTTCAGATTGCAGCAGCAGTAATGTTAGCAGACCAAGATGAGTGGAGCTGAAATAGAGGATGGCCCATTTCGCTTGTACAGTCATTAGGTGCGTTCGACTTCATGCAGCGCTGCGCAGATCGATCGAAATCTGTCTTAAAGCGGTGCATTCTGGTTAGAAATCTTGTCCGGATTGATGCTGCGCCGACGCCACGTGACTGTCACATGTGGCATCAAAGTACCGCGACAGCGCTCCGAGATCAGACGGCAAACTCAGACCGTGCAGCTTCTGAAGAGCGACTGCAGGAGCTCTGATGACGACACCGATATTATACGATTGGCCGAGTTCACCACATGACAACAAACACGTGTATTTCGGGTTTATAATTGGACAAATTCCGATTCAAAAGTTTCAAAACAATTCACTTTTCATACCCTCTCTATCCTGTAAACATCTTGCTTATTAAAGACTACAAATATTTTACTGCAGTATCATCTTTTGTTAAATAATCTGGTTTTAAAGGTTAGCTTGTTTGCACAGGTTTATTTTTAACTTTTTATACAGACTACTGCATTCATCTCCATGAACGATTTAAATGATCTATTTTAGCGTATATTTTAGTGAATAACCTAAATATAAACTCAAATAAGTCTTACAGACTTGAAATAAAATAATCATCATCATTGATCCTGCCACCCTAAAGCTCTCTTAACAAATTAAATTAAAGAACTATTTTATTAAATAATTATAAAATGGTTTTATTATTATAATACAAATAAATATTTTATTTCCTGTCTAGCAGTTTATAGGCTACCTGCTCTTTCTGGGAAACTTCTAACATAGCTCACTTATTTTACCTTTTGTTCTTTTCAACATGATCTTTTTGGATTAAAATGCTTTTTTTGAAAATTCATTCATTATCCAAATAATCTCATTTATTAAGACCTAATCAAAACACCTTGTTTTGCTTTTTACATGGGAAATTTTTACATCTATAAATGTACATATATGTAAACCCTTTTTTAGCATATTCAAACAAGAAGTATTAGCCTAAAGATTGATGTTTAACTCCTAGAATTTATGCTTATTGCTTTGTATTTAATAGACCTGTTCGTTTTTATGTTTATATTAACCTCTCATTTCCTCTTAATTCTCTCATGCATTTGTTATTTATTCATAATTCTCTCTTATTGTTTAAAAAGGAACTACAGTTTGTAGAGACTGTATTCTGTTTTATTTGTAAATGTTTTGTTGTTATAGATAAAAATAACAAAAAAAATATGATAACGCCATGCGATCGGTCATCATGACTGCAGCAACTTTAAGTCCCGAAGTGTCCAGCTGTCCGGCTTGACGGCTCCGTTTTCAACTCCGCCCCCACCTGCGCTCGGCTAATCTCGTTGATCACCGGCTGCAGCTGAGCTTCATGTCGAACGCACCTATTGCTTTAGACTCGTCCGCTTTTTGACACGCATACTGGGCCAAACATCCTAAGTTATACAGTCTTCACAGTGATTTACATACTTTGCACAGCAACATGGATACCTTCTAATGCTGTTAAAAGTGTCACAGACTGTATTTATAAGGTACAATTCACCATAAAATATCCTTCTGTCTTCATATAATGATGTATTGGCGGCCGCAAAATCACACATGACGTGAGCTGACCGTGAGCTGTTACTACAGAGAGCGGACTGATAGACGCGCGCGTATGGCAAGCCTATTAGCATTTAAACCTTTGTTCTGACTATCCATAAATATATTTAGAGATATCTCTAATTATATTTTGACTTGTCATAATTATAATTCGACTAGTCAGAATGACAATTAGAGATATCTGCAATTACAATTGTACTAGTACGAAATCAGATTGGAGATATCTGCAAATGTATTATGACTAGTCATATTCCTCCATTGACTTCCATTGAAACATATTTGCAGATATCTCTAAATGAGTTTTGACTAGTCACAATTGTAATTAGAGATATCTCTAAATGAATTTAATTAAATATGAATTAATATATTTATGGATAGTCAGAACAAAGGTTTAAATGCTAAAACGGCTTGCCATATGCGCGCGTCTGCTTCAGTGAACAGAACCTGCAGGTTGTGACTAATAAAGTAGTAAACAACATTCAGTTTGTGGAACAGAGTGATCTTGGAGCCGCGTGGGAAGTATGAACAGCACTTAGCAGTGGAAATGAAACCGAAAACGTACACATTATTTAAACAATCATATCGCATTTTAGAGTTATGATTACGACGAGCATTAACCCTTTTGAGTACAGAGGTACACAAAAATGCACGTCAACATGATACACTTGATAGCGATGACATCAGCGACGCCGAAGAAATAGTAAACCTGCCTAAACTGCTGAAAAGAGCCACGACTGTCCTGTGTAATGAAAAGACGGCCACCCTGTCACTCATCATGCCCAACATGAAGACAGCCATCCATAAAAACCTCTCAGACAAATACACATCAGTTCAGGATTATCTTATAGAACTGCTGATTACCTGGAAATGTGGATTTTTTTTTGCACACACAAAAAACGTGACCAAGCAAAGCCTTAAGCTCCTTTGCACCTTTACTTAAATTGTTCCTTAATTTTGTCTCTGTCATTTCAATAATATTTTTTAAGAAGTTTTTTTAATTGTCTTATTTTCCAGAGACAGGCCTGTTTAATTTATTTTCTTAAAGAAGGTTCAGTTTAACAAGTTGAAACAAAAGAAATACATAAAACATAGTTTACATGGTAAAATTTGCATTTCAGTTTAACTTTCAATTTTTTTCCCCAAATATCGTGATACACATCGAATCGTGAACATTATATCGTGATACACATCGTATCGTGAGCTGAGTGTATCGTTACACCCCTAGTTTTGATAATAAATTACATTTTAAAAGTTTGTGATCAGTAAAATTGTATTTATTCAGCTTAGGTACATTACATTAAATTAAAAGACATTTCTATTCCTAATAATCTAGTAATAATTATTGTTCTTTTGGACCTTTAATTAATGAAAAAATAAAATAAACAGCATCTTAAATATATATATATATATATATATATATATATATATATATATATATATATATATATATATATATATATATATATATATATATATATATATATATATATATATATATAAATGGATAGAGGTTATAACTTTAATTATTTTAAATCATAATAATAATTGCAAATAACAATTTTAGTTCTTTTTATCAAATAAATGCAGGCTCTGTAAGCATTAGAAACTTAAACAAGTAAAAAATAAGGCTTTAATTTAGAGGATCATTGGATTTAGGGTTCAATCTAAAGGTATTTTTATTTATTATTTAATAAAACTTTTGAAAATATCCTTTCAGTAAATAATTTTGTTAAATAAGTAAATTTATACTTTACCCTCTTCTAATAATGTCACTATGTCAAACTTTGCCCTACTTAAAACACAAAACAAAAACTTAATTAATTTTACCAAAAAAAAAAAAAAAAAACTAAGACTAAAATAACTAAAACCTATTCATCATAAAATGCATTCATTTTTCTATGATTGAACTTTTGGACACTTTTAATTTCTTAATTTGTCCAATTTACCAATACAAAAAAAATAAAAAAACAACAAAAAAACCTATCCATTGGGGTTGGGTCGATAGACGCATCGTGATCCTCGCCCCAACCCCATCGTAGCAACACCTGTTACCGAAAAATACACACTTAGGCCCGGTTACACTAATATGTCTTAGTTTTAAAATGGCATTTTAGAACGAAAATGATTCATGTCCACATTGGTGTTTCTCCTAGCATTTCTGAACAGCCCTCCACTAAAAACGCATATCACGTGACTACACACACAAACACAGTCATGCGCTGCAGGGTATGCGCATGTCTGAGCTCCACCAGAGAGAAGTGCACATCGGACAGTTTATTAAGGGTGTACCTCTGGATCACGTCTCACTATAGTTGTTAAACGTAATATTTAATTTAACTCGTCTCTATCTGATGACTCTCCTGTCTTTTGAATCTATCAGGTAACTAGTCACAGCATCAGTACACTGCTTCAATCTTTCACTTTCATGCTTGTTCTTAGTAATTTTAGAGAAAACCTCACATACTGTTGGTTGGTTCTTGTTGGTTGTGCACCTTTTTTACCAACCAAGTTTGTCGACGCCATTATAACGACACCAATCACTTTGCGTATTCATGCCAGAGTGTCGCGAAATTAGTGATTGACAGATGGTAATGTGTGTGTAACTTATCTTTATTTATTTATGCTTTGGTTATGGGTAAAAAAAAAGACCATGCGAGTCAGGAAGTTGAAACGGTAGGCTAAAAATAATTGATTCGTTATGAATGAATGAATTATTCATAAATCATTAATTCACCACTGCCTATGACGACGATGTCATCGTCCATCGAGATGTTTCAAATTAGACATTGCACGATGCCAAATTGGTCGACATCACCCAACCCTACAATCCATTATGCAGGAATGAACTTAATTCTTCATTATACTTAGCCATTCAGTCAGGTAGCACATTTAAACCCCAAACACACAAGATCTGACCTACATAGTGAACAAACACTGAAGCTGAGTTGAGTCTCAGGAGTGCAGTGGAAGTGCTGAAGTGTACAGCTCTAGTAATAAGTCTTTATTGTGCCTTTTCTGTCTAGTTTCCCATTAATTCCACAATGCATCAGAGACACCAACCAAACCACAGCACGTCTGAACTATTATCTCCACCTGACCTCCAACAGCATGTGTGCATTTCGACCAGTGCTGGTGAGTAAAAACTGCTGTGGTAGATGTTTTGCTTAAAGCTGTATTGAAAGAAGCACTGAGAATGAATTATATATGTGGCTCTATTGGACAGATGCACAATGCTGCTTTACGCTCGCAGTATAAACTGAAATGTATCTCCTGGAGGTTTTAAAGAACTTTAAAAGATCAATCTAGATCTACTGAGCAAAACTTTTAGCAAACACTCTATATCAGATGAATCTCCAAGCAAATCAACTGATTCTGACAGGCACTAACACGCTAAAAGCACACTTAGGTTTATTGGAAAAATGTGGCTCTACAACTCCTAAAGCATGCTTAGAAGTACAAAATATTTACAATTTGCTGCAGATTTCAACTGAAATCAATATTAGAGATAATAAAATAAGATTTGATTAATTATATTCACTTCCTAGATGACTTGACTTGGTCATAGTCTTATGGTTCATCTGCGTATGGCTTTTCCAACATAATAAACTTGCTCAGTAGCTTACCTGGTACAGTGTTACATTTGTGATTTAACTGTGCATATCTGTGCAAATAATAAAATTTTGTCCAAATTTAAAATTTGCACAAGCCTGGGTACACATTTTTAGTGCAACACCTAAATAAACAGATCATCAACATTTCAAGATCTGAGATTTATTTAGGAAATATAGGCTTTTGAAAATATTTGGCTATGCCTATTTTGTAAACGACCCTATTATAGTGGTTAAAAAAAATTAAACTTTTGGGGGAAAATATTATTGATCTATACAGTTCAAATTTCAGTTAACCTTTTGATTTGTATGATCAAACTTCAGTAATTAGAAAGCTGCATATAATCAGTTGCTAAATTCAAATAAACTTTTCCGTGATGGCTGGCTAATGTTTCTTTCAGGTTTCAGCCATTTAAAGACACATAAGGTGTTAGCAAAGCATAACGTTTATGGTTTGTAAAAAAAAATGCTGATGTCTATGGAGATGGCTATAAAAATTATTTTTAAACATAAAAGGACAATGTAATTCACATTAGATACACACTCTCTAGGTTATCTAGTATGCTTACTCTATTCTTCTCGCAGTTAAACAGATGATTATTTCTGGAGAAGTTGATTTATTTACACGTCGTAGATCCAGCAGCTCTAATCTTTCTACTGCAGCACTGACCAGCATAGAGCTTTTATCACTCGCCTTACAGTAGATCAAATAATATAGCCATTATTAAGATGTTTAAAGGGCAAACATATGTGAATGCAGATGCTCACCTCAGTTAATTTTGCTAACATACAACCAGCGTCAACCAACAAGAATATTAACTGTTAACTGGTCAGATTAATATTAATTTATTATTTAATTTTAAAAAATGGAATTGACGTGCCTATTTTGTGTGACACGTTAAATATTGCATTTTAAAATACTGATGCAATACATGCAAACAGCAGCATGCAGAACATAACAGAGCATCTTCACGCACCTGTAGTGTTTCCAATAGGATAGAAAAAACAGGATAAACTAATGAAAAATGATAAAAGAAACAGGCCTGCCCAAGATATTTTTCATATTAATGGCTGTCTCTTACCTGTATGACCAGAATAGGAGTTTGTCAGACTTGTTTCCAGTGTGTGTTGGGCTCCGGCAGGGCTGCCCTTTGTCACCAATTCTGTTTATAATTTTTATGGACAGAACTTCAAAGCGTAGCCTTGAGCTGGAGTGGGTCCGGTTCAGGGACCACAGGATTTAATTTCTGTTATTCGCAGATGATGTTGTTCTGTTGGCTTCTTCGAACATGTACCTTCAGCATGCACTGGGGCAGTTTGCTGCACGGTGTGACGTGGCTGGGATGAGAATCATCACCTCCAAGTCCGAGGTCATGGTGCTCCACCAGAAATAAAGTGGTTTGCCATCTCCAGGTTGGAGGAAAGTCCTTACCCCAGGTGGAGGAATTCAAGTACATTGGGGTTTTGATTACGAGTGAGGGAAGGATGAAGCGTGAGATTGACAGGCAGATCGGTGCAGCGGCAACAGTAATGCGGACCATGTACTGGTCCGTTGTGCTGAAGAAGGAGCTAAGCCGAAAGGCAAAGCTCTCGATTTACCGGTCAATCTATGTTCCTACTCTCACCTATAGACATGAGCTTTGAGGCATGACCAAAATGACAAGATCTCAGATACAATCGGCTGAAATGAGTTCTTCGTAGGGTGGCAGGGCACACCCTTATAGACAGGGTGAGGAGCTCTGACACCCAGGAGGAGCTCGGAGTAGAGCCGCTGCTTCGCCACATCGAGAAAAGTCAGCTGAGGTGGCTCTGGCATCCCCAGGACGCCTACCAAGGCATGTCCCACCGGGAGGAGGCCTTGGGGAAGACCCAGGACATGCTGGAGGGACTATGTCTCTTGGCTAACCTGGGAACGCCTTGGGATCCCCCAGGAGGAGATGGAAGTATCTGGTTAGAGGGAAGTCTGGGGTTCTCTCCTAAGACTGCTGCTTCCGCGACCCGGCCCCGGATATGATAATGATAAGATGATGATAACTGATACCATTAATCGGTTACAAACACACCCTTTCGCTTAACCGTTAATTTGGTTATATTGAACACCCCTATATGTGAAAGCATGTTCTTACACATATTTAAGGATAGTATCAAAAAATAAAAAACTCGACAGCACCACCCAGTATTCAGTAAAAAAAAAAAATTTCAGAATTGAAACTGGCGACATTAATGTACATTAAATGTTGTATGAATTCTTTCAAATTCATTGGATGATAGCAGCCAGGCTTTTATTAATTGATTGATTTTTAGATATACCAGTCTCCCCATAGATAAGTGTAGCACTTTGGACAACTTTTCATAGTCAGACTCCATAAAGTAGTTAACATTCCTGTGCAAATTACTTCATCAACTATTAAAATTGTCAATGAATGGTATTCTTAAGTCGGTAGACAATTGATAATTCTGATAAAATATTGAATTATGAGATTAAGTCATACCTTTCTCAATGCTCAAAGAGTCAATGGCCCGGTAGCCGGCATTACAGATGCCATATTTAGCTCCCGCGGCCATGACAGCGTTGTAGACAGGCAGACAGGACTCTTTCGGGATGTGAAGCTCCCAGCCCATTTCACCCACAAATGACAGACGCATGGCTCTCACCTACACAAAACAGTGGAAAAATATATGAGTGCAAAAACAATTCTGAAGGTGTACTGTACACTTCCATACTATAAAATAGGTGGAAAAACCGTGAGTAAAGTGGTACTGTATGTGTGGAGTAATAGTATACAGAAAACAGTAAATACCCTGATGACTGGAAGTACTACTTTGGGAAGTATGCATCTTATGGACAATATCCTATAAGGCCATGTGAGAGAATGTAAGAACAGCAGTGAAGCAATGCAATTGATGTTTAAGTCACATGGCTGTGACAACATGGCAGATAAAGTGTCCCGAGTGCGTTTAAAAACTATATACATTAATAAAAAAGCACAAGTCCTTTTAAACAGTCGTGAAGCCAGTCATAAGGGTGTCATCTGTATAGTATGCCATTTTGGATGCAGCACATTTGTTAGCACATGTGTGTAAATAAGTGTATTGCAACTTATATTATTAAAAGACCCATAATGATTAATTTTAAAAAGTAACTGTTTAATACTCTTACTAAAAATGATAAAATTAAAATAAAGGCATATAAATAATTAACCTTTCTCTAAAATCTGAATAATTTTTTCAAATATTACTCAAGTAATGTGTAACAGAGCACGGACATTTTCTCACAATTTCCTGTCATTTTTATTTCTTCTGGAGAAATTCTTATTTCTTTTAGTTTGGCTAGAGCAAAAACAGTGTTTGATATAAAAAACAAAAACAAAAGCAAAAATTAAAGATTAAGGTCAGTATTATTATTTTATTTATTTAATTATTTAATTAAGTTTCAGCTCAATAATCTGTATCATAGCATCTTACTGCTAAAATGCTTAAAATGTTAACAAAAGAAGAAAAAACATATTAACTTAATAATTGATTCAAATTTATTTTTAAATATTCAGAAATGAAACATCTCATTTTTCTCTAGAGCAAACAGTAATCACACATAAAATGACCTTACCTTTCTCTAAACAAGTGAACTCAAATTAGGGAGAGAGTGTAGCTTACAGAACACTTAGCAAACTAAAAGGGCTAAAACAACTCTGAAATTGTACTTTGCTGTTGCTTGCTACTAGATTGTCTGACTTTTTAGCAAGACACTCATCACTTAATTGTGTTCACTTAATTGACTAGTAAGACTGTCACATACACATGGCAGTCACACATTTGCTCTGGGCAGGGGAAATTAAATAATTTAAATAAAATTTCTTATCGCATCCTTTTGCGATTTGATTTCTAATAATTGCACAGCTCATGTCAAAGACAAAAGAAATTGGTTATTAAAGCTATGCTCAATGTCTGTTATAAAGCAGTTGGTAAAAGTTTTTAAAAGAATTTAAATTTCACAGAAGGGCTAATGATCTTGCCTTAAACTCTATTTAATCATATTATTATGCACTTTCTGCTAGCATTTTCTACTCTACAGTAATTTAAATTGCATCCTTTCCTTGTTGTGCAAAGCTGAATTTTTCCATCATTACACCAGTATTCAGCATCACATGATCTTTCAGAAATCATACTAATCTACATAAAACCAGCATTCACTGAAAATATTTTTCTGTAACATCAAAAATGTGTTTGATGTCCCTTTAGATTAAGTGAATGCATCCTTGCTGAATAAAAGTACTGAATGAACTTCCTCTGAAACTAAATCTAATTGGCTGCAAGCTTCAAAACAGTAGTGTGCATGTAAAAGCCAATTTACAATCAGTTTTCGTTTAAAGATCTTGTCTTGATTCCAGTACAGCAGTGATACAGTACATTATAAACAGGATTATTTTCATAAAGCGAGTGAGAAAACACCGTGACAAATGAGGTGAGCACAGTTTCTGAGGATCGTGCCATCTGTCAGGCCTCGACTACCTCCAGCTGCCTTCATCCTTCTAGAAAAAAAGCTAAATCGTTCATTAAACAGGCCCGAGGTACCTGCGTCTCTCTCTTACAGAACACACATTAACATCCAACCAGAGAGAATCAACAGCCTTAAACAACAGCACAACACAGCAGATAATAGTCTGGCCACTTTCCAGAACCTGCAGCAGAAACGCACGCTTTTTTCCAATGTGTGTTTGCACTGAACAGAAAGAAGAGCTTAATTGTGCCAGTCCTAAGGGCTTGAAATCAATCTGGCAGGCCTGGGATCATGGGAAGGGCACCATTATCAGCCAGCTACAAGCACTGCACTCTTCACTGTAACCTGCAGGGAGATACAGTGAGCGTGCCGAGAGTTTCTGGCCAACAGTTGTTGTTGTTGAATCCGAGACACTGTTTCAACAGCTTGAGACCCGGTTACACACACTCCACGAGTCTCAGCCTCAGAAAGCTCGCGTGCAGACAGCTTGTGCACTGCCTGATGCATATTCAGCCAAAAGCTGGCAAGGTTATAATCTGATAAGCTGGCTTTGTGCAGTTTCTGCAAGTTTGAGTGCACTTTTTTATCAGTTCGGCAGAAGTTGAAATGTTTCCAGCAACTTTTCTAGGAAAAGCCAGAAAATTTGATTTGATGTTTTCAAAGTTCATGACATCAAAGTTAATAAGATTTTTCCATGTTTTTGAAACTGGTCTCTGCTCACAAAGGATAAAAATAATATAATATGCAATATACGTGATAAATTACATTTTTTTAATGCAATTGTTGTTTATCTAAGTTTGACCAATCAGATGGGGTCTAACAACACAAAAAAACGTATTTTATTTTATTTAAAAATTTTTAAACAGGAAAACATTAAAAAACCTGACTCAGAACGAATGCTGTATTTTCAGCAGGTTCCTGCTCTGCAGAACATAAAAACATACAGGCACACTTGCCATCTCATCCATAAAGAGATAAGATCGGTACAAAAAAAATCACCAAACATACAAAATAGAGGGAAGCAGGCTACTAACTCAGTGGCTACAGCGATAGTTGACCATCAGATGACGGGCATGGGATTGTTAAAAAAAAGTCTTCATGTTGGAATTGTTTTTAGATGTTGTGGGACCTCGTTCCAGGCTTTTGTGAATACATAAAAGAAAGACCTCAGTCCAAAACAGTTTTTAAAAGCCGTTACTGGCCAACATCCATTTGTTGCAGATCTGGTGGAACGATCAGTCCTTCTATTAAGTTTTGGTACCAAAGCACAAAGGGCTACTGAGGTAGCGCTATTAAAAACTTAATAGTACAGTTTAATCCCTGTGTTCATAATGTAATTTTGAAATGATAAAGCATTAGAGAGTGATACAACAAAACAGTGATGAGTCCATCCAGAAAGTCTGTTGTGGATCTTATAGGCCGTATTGTACAGTCTAGCTACTGGCTCCAAGATATCATTTGTTTTGAGAGACCAAACAGGCAAACAGTAAGACAAGGTAGACAAGATTATGGCATGAAGATAAGTTTCAGAAACAGAAAAAGACAATTTTGTCCACATTTTACCATAAACAAATAGCTTTTGTTTTAACTTTTTATACATATTTTCATAATGGTCACAATAAGTAAGGTGAGAGTCCAGACTGATTCCCAAATATTGATATGTGGATACAATGGAAAGTTTTTGATTTGAGAAAATGAGGGGATATGATACGGATAATTTTCACCTAGGTGAATAAAATACATACATTCCGTTTGCTTAACGTTAATAGTCAAATGATTGTCTTGCACCCATTGATGTAAATGCTTGATGTAAATCTGTATTTAATTTATTGTTAATTGTGTCTGTACCTGATCCAGACACATAAAGTACAGTGTCATTAGTGTACAATAAATAATTTAAATGTTTAATTACCTGAGAGAGGTCATTGATGTATAGAGTAAAGGTCCCAAAATACTTTCCCGTGGAAACCCCCATGCTGGGTTCCACACAATTCCTTCATATCGTTCCAACAAGTTAACTTTATCGCTTTTTTATAAATTTAAGTGGATTGAACATAAATCCAGTTAAGTTGACAAAAAAAGGTAAATCAAATACGCAGTTTGAACAAGCAGAGAATTTTTTGAGTTTATATATATCCCCACCTCCCCAGTAGGTGCTGTTCTGCTACTGGCTTGAGTGGCCCAAAGGTGAACCCATATCTGAACAGAAATACTAATGACGGGAGTTAAGACAAGAGAAGAATATGGCAACAGCCAATCAGATGTAGAATACCTACTAAAGCTGAGGTTAAACTAAAATGTTTGAAGCTTGCTTTTTTTAGTCCGAAATACAATTAATTAGATCTGAAAAATATATTTTACCTGTTTATATTAAAATCATTACATAAATAAACAATTAAAAAACAGCTAATAAATGGCATTTTTCAAGGGAAATATCATAAAAAAAAAAATCATCATTGCAATTCTTAACAACAATATCACATATCTCATATTTTACCAGTATTGTGCAGCTCTAGAAATTGAATGTCTACTACATGGCTAGAGTAAAGTGAGTAACCCTGTGACCTCCCATGTGGTTTTGCAAGTATAAAATTATTACAATTAAATCGCAAAACACATAATAATCATGCACCGATGAATTTTACTGTGAATAAAGTTTGTAAATATGTAATACCTTTTCTAAAGTCAAGGTTAAGCACCTTCTATGTGGATTTTCATAACTAAGCAAATTACATACTTGCATGCATGTGTGATGATATTATATCAGATGCTACAGTATTTTAACAAAAATATGTTGGAAATTATGATAGATAGTCATATCACAAATAACGCCTGCAAAATTGCAGATGTCTTCAATTATTTTTTTATTCCCATATTCGAATATGGATTATCCCATACTGTCCATTGAAAAATCCTTACATGTTTTCTAAGTTCAGAGCACATTTTCAGCATAAGTAGTATCACAGAATCTGAAGCCTTACAGGCAATAAAATCATTCAAACATTCCAGAGCTAAAGATGTGTTTGATATAGATTATCTTATGTTGAAAGAACTTTCTACACTCATTCATTTATTCATTTTATTGTCGGCTTAGTCCCTTTATTAATCCGGGGTCGCCACAGTGGAATGAACCGCCAACTTTTCCAGCAAGTTTTTA